CAATATTAATATAGTACTTCTTGTGGGCCTTTGTAGATAGATATATCATAAAGTTGTAATATTTTATTATGATATCGTTAAAATTATATTCACACCAGAGTGATCAGCATGTGTTTTAAACACTTCCTGTAATATTAGAAAAGCATATCTTGTCATCTTCACACAATAATTCAGTTATATACCGAAACACAAGGTTATATATTATATATTCTGTAAAATGTCCAAATAGAATTAGTAGAAACCAACATGATCAATCGTTATGAAGATATTTCACAATATTCTTAGGAATGTTTAGATATAAAAGTGTCCTTCTGCCAATATGTATTGAGTACCTATTCTATTCAAAGCATTGTTAGGTAGAGTGGCTCTAAAATAATAAGATATGGTACCTATATTAAGGCCCTTGACTATTATGAAGAATGAAGTTTACAAGGGAGGAAAATATATGGTAAACGTTTTTGCTGGAAAATTCATTTTGTACAGAATACTAGCAATTTTTGATGCATCCTAGTGCCCAGAATAAATAAATCCTGACAAATGCTTATTTTTACATCTGGCCAACACTCATTTTTATTTTGTTTATATAGCCTTAAACAAGTTATTTATCCTTTCTCTGTCTCAGTGTCCTCATCTGTAAAATGGGGATGATAATAGTACGAGGAAGAATATGGTCGTTGTGAGGATCAAAAGAATTAATTTGTATAAAATTCTTGAAATAGTGCCCTGCATAGAGTAAGCACTCAATACGTAATAAAAATCATTGTAATCATCCTCATCTTCATTGTCATCATCATCATAATCACCATCACCTGTAACCATCTCATGCATGGTGGGGCAGAAACCATTAGGGAACAAAGCATTCCTGGATCCCTCTGGGAAAATGGACACTATTATCTGATGGTCTCTTTTATAATGTCTGTTTGCCTTAGGATAAAAAATATTCACCCAAATTTGTGGCATTAACTCTACCCAAATGTCACTGGTGGCAACAAAAAATACTTATTAATACTAATAGTAATCAATATTTAAAAAATCATCCTTTTCCCCTTTCCTTTTGAATTCTTTTGAAATCTTTTTATGGCTATTATATCATTTGACTTTCACGAGAGCCTTACAAAGTATATAAGGCGATTCTAATATATTTGTTAAATTTCTAGCAAGCTTTACTGTCCAGAATATAGTCAATCCAACAAAAATGTCATAAAGTCCAACTATAGGTAATAATTTTAACTTAAAGGAGAACTATTAGGTCCTGACTCAGAATCTCATTACTCTTAAGGCAGATAGAATTATCCATTTTCTCCAATCGATAGCAGATTTATAAATCAAAAGGGGGCAGGTATAATTATCATAGAAGGAGGGTTAGTAACAGAAAAGACAGAATACTCATGAAAAACAGAAACTAAAAATGCACAGCAACCTGATGTTGTTTTCATATGGGGGACTATAAGAACACTAAGAGGGCCAGACCAATTCTTGGTGACCTTGGAAGATGTGGCAGCTGTCCTCCTCACTGTCTTACAGCTTTGTCATGCCACACAAATACAGGGGCCAAACATAGCTTGTGATATTCAGAGTTTGGTTCCTTTTCCTCCCTGCCTTTACATCAAAACACACCAATTTTCAGCTCTGGATTGTGTAATTTGAAGTGTCACCCCAACTGTGCACATGACTAAGTTTGAGGGCAGTTATCCAGAGTTTTCAAGAGAAAACTGGTTAGAACTTTATGTAACATCAAATATTAATAGCTTAACTTGCCCAAACATAGGACTGTTGGCGTTGCTGTGACCAAACATCAGGATGTCAACCATTTGCAAATTTCAACTGTGGGGAAATTTTCTAAGGAGTTGCCAAATAAAAAGGAGGTAGAAATTTGATAGACAAATAGAATATAATCACTTCCCTACCTTTATTGTAGGAAAAAAAAACCCACTATTGACATTATTCAAATGTACACCTGTCCAGTTTCTGCTGTTTATGTCATTCTGTCATGACTTGTCAAAAATATGCAAAATCTGACTTTGGAAAGATATGAACAATAGAAATGGAAAAATAGTGTAAGCAAACATAACCTTAAAGAGGCTGTTCTTTTCTTTTTATTAATGAAAAATTTCCAAAACACTTGGACCAGATCTGAAAGATCAAAGTACTGCCCATAGAAACCTTTCCATAAAGGATAACAAGTGGTCAGAGCTCAAACAAACTGATTTATTTTTAAGCTCCTACCACTCCCATTAAGTTGATATTTCCACAGTGTGACTCATTTCAAACGTAATTAAAA